AACCGGCCACGGACGACGACCTCGAATGCGCTGGAGAGTTGGTCCTCGCCCCCCACGACGTCGAAGCCCATGGCGCCGTGACCCGGGTCCTCGATGCGAAGGGTCACGCGACCACGCCCCGCGAAGAGCTCGAAGAATCGGCAACCCCTCCACCCGCGCCGCGCCTAGCGCCCCAGAACCGCCGCTGCAGGTGCTTCCGCGCCTCCGTTGGCGACGCCGACGCCCGCCCCGTTCGTTGGGGGGCGGAAAGATACGGATACGTGTTGTCCCCGGACCTCTCTTGGGGTGCGTTCTGACCAGAATTTCGAGGCGAATCCAGCGGTGACGACGAGGATTCCCCAGGAGGACCAGGAAAGGCCGAAAACGACGGGGGACAACACGTATCCGTATCTTTTTCTCCCCCGAGTTCGGGGGGCCGCCCTCGGGCTGCCGCGGCCCCGGAAAAACGGGCCAGCAGGGCTGCGGCGACTGCGAAGCGGGAGGCCCGCGCCTCCGCGCGGGCGCCGCCGCGTCGATTTTGCCGCCCCGCTTCCCCGTGGGATGCGCCGCGGCGCGGCTGGGGCAGCCGCGGTCGGCCGTCCGCGCGCGGGTGCGCAGAGGTCCTCGGGCAGCGGCCTGCCCAGAGAGGGGTCGCGGCAGAGGCGCAGGTCTGGGGGACCGATCGCGAGGGCGGCATCTGCGCAGAGCCGAGCAAGCCACGTAGGCGGGGGGAGGCCCAGAGGGGGCCGTACCCCCCCGCGACCTTCCGCGCCGCGGGCCGCACGGCCAACCGAGGTGCCCGGTGGCGCAGCGTCTCTCGCGCCACGCGTCCAGCTCGATGAGGAGCCGGAGGTCGGTGAGGAAAGGGATGAACTCCAGAGGGGGCCAGGAAGAAACCCGCCGGCGGCAGGCGGATGCGGGAGGTCACCGGCGGCCGTTCGCGTGCGAGGCACGGGCGGCCGACGACAGGCCACGCCGGCGGCCCCGAGGCCTTGCGCGTCGCCCAGCCTCTGGCGCCCGTTGGGCGCCCGAAGCCCGTCCGCGCCAGCGCCGGCCCGACCGTGGCCGCCCAGGCCACCTGAGCAAACGGGCCGCCGAGGGCGATGGACAGCAGGTAGAACAGGCGGAGCGACCTCCAGGCGGGCGCGGTGACCCACTGCGCCAGTCCCAGGGGGTGGTCGGCCCGACCCTGCCCCGTCACCCTTCGCAAGGCGACTTGGGCCCAGCGCGGGTGGAACGCCGCGAGCAGCGGCGTCAGCGGCGGGGGCATGCCGCGTGGGCACCTGGAAGCGGCGGGGGCCCGCGAACCAGCTTGGGTGCCCTCGAGACAAAGCGTCAGCGGGGTTTAACTCGCAGCAAGTCCAGCGGATATGCATGACGGAGTTGGAACATATAAATTACCCCAGTGCGACCCTACCTAGAAAGTGGAGCCCCCTAGGAAAGCAACATTAGTTGCTATGCTGTGCTATGCTAAACCATGCTATGCTGCGCTATGCTCGGATATGCAATGCTATGCTATGCTATGCTATGCTGCGCTATGCTATGAACTGCAATGTTATGCTATGCTCTGCTATGGTCGGCTATGTTATGTCATGCTGCGCTGTGCTATGTTAAGCTACGCTTTGCTGCTATGTTATGCAATATTGCTTTGCTATGTTATGCTGCGCTGTGCTATGCTGTGCAGTTCTGCGCTATGCTCTGCTATGCTATGCCATGCTGCGCTATGCTATGCTATGCTATGCTATGCTCTGCTATGCTGGGCTATGCTATGATATGCTGTGCTGCGCTATGCTATGCTGCGCTTTGCTGTGCTATGCTGCTAAAGCTCAGCGGCGCTAAGATGAAGGTAAGCTAAACTAATATAATCCTGAGCTAAAATGATGCTAAGCGAAGCTAAATTGAAATATGCTAAGCTAAGAGGAGATAGGCGACGCTAAGCTAAGGGAGCGTCACTGGGGGAACCGCGGGGCGGATGCCGGGGGAACCGCCCGGGGCGTGGCCCACTGCCCGGCCCTTTAAGCATACCGAGTAAGAACCCTTCTAGGCAGAGCCTAGGTAGGGAATCAATCCGCCCAGCTTCAGAAGAGTACGACAGCGCCCCGGGGCCAGAGGCATATTATCATAGAGTAGTGGCAGGTGCCTCCTAAAGGACGCGTTCGACCTTGACATATGCTCGATCACTGAGACGCAGGCGCCCTTTTCCAAAACCAAGATGTTGACGGATACCAGGGCCCTCGAGGTGAGGACGGGCGACCGCGATGCCCCCTCGAAAAACTCTCTGGGAACCTCCAAGAACTCCCTCGGGCGCGCCCTGATGAAAGCCCAACGCGTCCAAGGCCGTGCCGCCCCGGAGGCGGCGAAACTAGGTCCGATTGCACACAGGGGGGAAGAGGCTGAGACCCGAGCGCCCCCTCCCTGGCTTTTTCCGGCACCGGCCACACGATGGTGCCAACGCTCGCACTGGCCGCCTCGCGCGGCAGCGCGGACCGCGTCGCTCCCTGGCCCCGAACTGCGAGGCATCGCTCGCTCTGGCCAGGCCGCGCCAATGGCTGCCCAGGTCCGTCTGCAGGAGCGGGGTCAGCGCGCGCAGTGGCTCCAGCTCCCTCTTGGTCGCCGGCCACAGGCGGAACGTGGTGGAGGCATTGGGGGGCGATGCAAGGGTAGACGGCGCTCAGGACGCAGAGGACCCCCCCGCGGACAAGGCAATCCCAGGTGGCGTGGCCAACTGGAACCTCCAGCATCTAGCTAGAACAGCATCCCTGGCGTAGCAAGGTGTCCAGCGCCGTTCGGAGCCTCCAGAGGTTGCGGCGCAGGACCGACAGCCATCGCCCCCTCCTCAGCTCTAGCCAGACCATGACCGCGCCCGACGAGGCGTCGGTCTCCTCATGGACCGTGAGCCCCCAGCTCTGCTGGATTGATGAGATCAGACCCCGCTTGCGCGTCACCAGGTTGGGGGCATGCCCCATCGCGTAGAAATTGTCGAGGTAACCCGCGGCGGCGGTGGAGACCATGTCCTAGAGGGGCACGTACCCGCGCCCGTCCTTGATGATCGGCCCCCCCCCCTCGAAACCCGCGAAAGTGATGGCCCGCATTGTGGCTGCCTGGTACAAGTGCGTGGCCCACGAGAAGCCCATGTGGAGGATGGTGGAGCAAGGGTTTGAGCTGGCCCCGGCGGGGATGGTCAGCCCGTCGAGGTCGGTCACGCCCACGGTGTTGGATGACAAGGCAAGGCGAAATAATCCGAAAACCTGCCCATGGGCGTGAGACGGTCGCATGCATTGTCCAAGTCCCCCGCGGCCAAGTGCAGAGGGAGGTCGCTCGCCTCCACAGGACGCGGCGGCCGCGGTCGTGGTCCGGGTCGGAAGAGCAGGTTGCAAAACAAATGCGTTCGCGTACCTGGTGTCGAAGATGATCCGCTGCCGACCCGACTTCGTCCTCGCGAGAAACACACCGATCGGATGCTTGGAGGAGCGGGCGTCACATGGAACTGCAGCATCCCGCAAATGTGGGGGCGCCGAACACGTTCACCGTACAAAATCGGGTCCTTGGCCAACCGGGGGTCGACAAACTGACCAAATGGGCAAGCATGTCGGGCGCCGAGCAGAGCATCATCAGGCGTCTTGAGCAGAGCACGTCACCAATCCCATGCCCAATTAGCATCGCCCTGGGACATCCAGTAAATTCACTTGGCCAAGGCCAAGAGACCAGCTTCTTGGAGTACGGGGCGCGGGCGCCACCGTCGTCGGAGTAGACGGCAGAGCCGCTGAGAAGCTCTCGAAGGGCTCCTTCAACAAAGCCCGGCTCGATCGGCATCACACCCGCGTCCAAGTAGCAGTCCCCCAAAAATTGACGCTTGACTGCTGACCCAGGTTGAGAGAGGCGACGAAGAGAGCCCATCCGTGTGACCGTAGAGGCAGCTCCTCCTCCTCCTCCTCCTCCTCCTCCTCCTCCTCCTCCTCCTCCCCAGAAGGTGAATCGGCCCGGGCCAGCGCAGACCATGACAAGGGGGAACACGCACACATAGCTGCCATCGACGGGGGGGCCGTAAAAGAAGTGGGATTCCCGTGGCTCGCCGGCCGTGTCGACGAACGTCGGAAGGTGCCATCTGGATGGGGGCGCCGTCCAGCACGGGCAGCCGATCAAAACGCACCATCTGCTCCGCGAAGCGGCCAACCCCTCAGCACGCACGATGCCCTTCGCCTCAGGATCGGCCTTGCCTCCACGCGCACAGAGGGAAACGATGACCGCGACCTCGTCCGTCATCCCGCACGACGGCAGAGAACGGCCATCGGTCAAGATCACCCCCAGAGGGGCCGCAAAGACTACGCTGGAGGGCGACACAGCGTGGTCGGTCGCCATGAGGTACCTGAGCATCTCGACCTGCGCCGCGCCCACGATGCTGTACAGGCGCAGCCGCGCCGGCGAGCCCAGGAAAGTCCGCGCCGAGAAGAGCGCCTCCTTCAGCTTGGCTGGCGGCGCGCTCGTCGGCAACCTGGCGGGCCGCCGCCATGGGGGCGCAACAGGCTCTGCGCCCGGGCGCCTCGCGCCGCGATGTGGCGGTGCCGATCAGCCAGCTCGGCGACAGCGGCCCCCGCTGGCCCCGCGCACAGCCCCTCGGCCGGGACCACCTCGCAGCTGTTGCCACCGTAGTCCGCCATGAGCAGGGGGAACAGCTAACGCGAGAGTGTGAGCGGCAAGCGTGGGGCGCATCCCCCCCACGGGTATCAGCGCCCCCGCGCGGACGGAGCGGCGACAGGTGTCTACACGGAGGTCGCTCGAGACTTGAGCGAGACGGCAGCGGGTGCCAACAGGTGCGGCTCTTTCGCCGTGGGATCCATAATAAATTTGTGAACAACACCATCGCTAGGTCTTATATATATATATATATAGACCTCTCTCTCTCTCTGTAGACATCGAATTCTATCTAGACATGTGTGTGTGTGTGTGTGTGTGTGTGCGTGCGTGCGTGCGTGCGTGCGTGTGTGTGTGTGTGTGTGTGTGTACAGATCTCGTCACCCGACCTCGAGTCGCTCCAGCCGTGCCCCCAGCGCCGCCACGCCGTCGCGCGCCGCGGTGGCCTCCAGCGCCCGCGTGGCCGCCCGCGCGCTCGCGTCCGCCGCCTGCATCGCCGCGAGGCAGTCCTCCTGCTTTGCGAGCGACTCGTGCAAGCATCGCTCGACGCTCTCGACACGGGCGCGGAGCTCAACCAAGGTCGCCTCCGACTGATCCACGAACGTGTCCCGTAGTTCCGCGACTGCAGCGAGCTGCTCCATCGCGTCGGTAGCGATCCTGGCCTGTAGAGCTTCCAGGGCCTCCCCGGCCTCATCATGCGCGCGCGAGGAGGAGGCGAACCTGTTGGCCACGCTCTCCTCCAAGCGGACCACTTTCTCCCACAGAGAGCTGGCACCGTCGCTTGCGCGCGATGAGGCTTCGAACCTCTTGGCCACGCTCTCCTCCAAGCGGACCAACTGCTCCCTTAGGGAGCTGGCCTCATCATCTGCGCGCGATGAGGCCTCGAACCTCTTGACCACGCTCTCCTCCAGGCGGACCACCTGCTCCCTCAGGGAGCTGTGGTACGCGTCAAGGGTCAGGGTGACGTTGGCGAGGTTGGCGAGGCTAGCGTGTGCATCCTTGGCCTCCTGCAGGTGCTTGTCCTGCTCCGCCTGCAGCTCCGCTGCCAGCCCCTCGTGCCTCGCGGCCTGCTCGCCGACCCTGCCCTCGAGCGCCTCGAGCCTCCCGCGATCCTCCGGCTGACGTCGACGGACCACCTCACCGATTCCTGGGTCCTCCTCCTCCTCCTCCTCCTCCGCCTCCTCCTCCTCCTCCTCCGGACATGATCAGTGAGGTGGTCAATTGACGCCGCCCGACTCCTGGGCAATCTGCTCGACGGTGTCCTCCAAGGCGCTGTCCAAGCAGCGCAGCCTCTCCTCGAGCTGCGACATGCGCTCCGGCGACTCGCCCAGCAGGCGCTCGGCCAGCGCGCCCAGCGCCCTTTCGAGGCCGTCCGAGCTGCGGAGGGACTCGTCCGCCCGCCGGTCCAGGTCGTCCAGCCGTCGCTCCGCCTTCGGGTCAGACGAGAAGGAAATCGAAGGGCAACTTGAGGGGGGAGCAGCTCAGAGAGGAAGAACATCGAGCCGGAATCGGCGATGCATCGCTTTCAAATCGGCAATAGGTCCACGCTAGCGAATCCGCACGTTCCTTGGCGGTGTGGTCTATCGGGCTTCTGCCTGGGATGAATGGGCAATCCGGGGTCGATGCATCCCCCACCCCCCTGAGCCTATCCCTCCCTAACGTTGCCCCTGAGAGGTACAGCCAAAGGGGGGTTGCGATTCAGCTCACGTAGCTGTTGTTTTGCCCGCGCCCGCGGCTCACGAAAAAAGCATGTGGCGTTGGGGCCGAAAACAGCTGCGTGCTGCCATAGTCGTGTCCGCTCCCTTATCGTCAGAGGTATAGCCAAGGGGGTTTAGAGATTCAGCTCAAGCAGCTGTTTTTCCCGCGCCTTGCGTCGCCAGAGGTGCACAGGTATCGCGGAAAGAGCCCGGCGGCGACGCCTAAGCGGCTACGTACAGCAGTTTTCGTACCCCCTCTCCCCTACCCCCATGGTCGAGCCAATGAGTAAGAAACCTCCTGCCAACAAGCTGGGCCTGCTTTTCTTTACCACTTTGCGGGATAGGTGGCCCAGCTTCTTGAACACGTTCGCCCCTGCAGCATTGATTAACAAACATTGGCTTAGGTTTGTTCAAGCAACTTCTGGGAAGCTGGCCCAGGCTTCTTAATGCATAGTCTTCTTCTTCTTCTTTTTCTTCTTCTTCTTCTTCTTCATATTTTCGGCTGTAACCTCCCTCGTCCATTCAGCAGCTCCCCCTCGCCCCCTCCCTCCTCCGAATCCCCCCCTCCCTTCCCCGAATCCCTCTCCCCGCAGCAGTCTTCGCACTCCCGTCGCCCGACCCGGCGCCTGCTCCCTGGCTTCCCGCAGCGCGCTGCCGAGGCCGGCGTGCTCCTCGCCGAGCGCGGCCAGTCCGCGCTCGACCGCGCCGACCCGCTGCAGGCTCTCCTCCCGGGGGTGGACGGAAGCCCCTTTGGCAAAATGCCCCTCGGGGAGAGCTGCCGGGGGCACTCCTCGTGCGCACGGCATTGCACTCCGAGTGCACCCCGCTGGGGAAGCTGACGTGCGCCCCAAAAACAACCGACTGGATCCGGCGAGACGCGAGCCGATCCGCGAAGCCGCCTGGGGACTGCGCCCGTGCACTCGGCTGCCTCCGCCGCGTGACCCCGTGCAGAGATTGTTCCCGAGTCGACTCGTCCGGGGCGGCGTTCTGCCAATTTGGACGCCCGAAATGGGTACCGAAAGAATGGGTACAATGCCCAACAACAAATGTTGTCCCAAACCAACAGCGGCCGCTGTTTGGCAGGCGGCCTCCTGTCTCGAATGGGCACAGGCCGCGGCGGCGCGGACAGCGAGGCCTGTTCAGAATGAACAGGAACTGCTGTTGGGCATTGTACCAATTCTTTCGGTACCCATGTCGGGCGTCCAGAGCCAATGCCCGATCCTCCGCCGCCCTCGCGAGGCCCTCCTCCTCTGGCACCGCCGCGCGCCCGCCCGCTCTGCCGCCCCCCTCGCGCGGCTGCTCCAGCTGCTCCACGCGGCCCTGCAGGGCGTCGAGCCGCGCCCACACACCGTCGGCCAGGTCCTCCTGTCGGGCCCGCGAGGCCTACGCTCGGACGAGAAGAATGTCACGGCCGATTAGCTCAGGATGCGTTCCAGGGCCTCCAGAATTATCTGGCGGCCCTCCCCCGCCAGCGTGGAACGTTTGGGAGTCTACGCAGGAACTTCTGGGCACCTAGGACATCCTGGAACGTATCATTTTATCATTACTCCCTTTTGGACACCCGAAATGGGTACCGAAAGAATGGGCAACATGCCCAACAGCAAATGTTGTCCCAAACCAACAGCGGCCGCTGTTGGGCAGGCGGCCTTTTGTCTCAAATGTACACAGGCCGCGGCGGCGCCGACAGCGGGTCCTGTTCAAAATGAACAGGAACTGCTGTTGGGCATTGTACCCATTCTTTCGGTACCCATTTCGGGCGTCCAGAAAATATGCACATCCGACGCTGCCCGCCAGGCCTGCCCTGGGGCCCGGAGCGGCGATTGTGCCTCCCTGGCCACGGCAGGGGCGGCCGGGCGCGCCGCTCCTGGGCCCGGGGTGCGCCTGGCCGGGCCGGGCCGGCGGCGGGCGTGCACCGGTGGTGTTCCAACGCGGGGCCCTGAGGGGTGAGGTCCTAAGGACGAGGTGCTTCGAACAAAGCACATCCACCCTCCGGATCCCTTCCTGCCCTTCAGACCCCATCCGTGGTTCAAACGCGGGGCCCTGAGGGATGAGGTCCTAAGGGCGAGGTGCTTTGAACAAAGCACATCTCAGAGCGTGAATTACCTCCCCCGCTTTCGCTTCCAGGCGAAACCAAGCCATACCACGCGCCTCCTCGTCCAGCGGCCTGACCAGTACAGGCCGCAATTTGGCATCGTTTGGTATCTCTTGGAAGCGAGGGTGGTCAAAAGCGAGGTAGGTTTGTTTTCCCCCGAACATCCACCCTCTGGATCCCTTCCTGCCCTTCAGACCCCACCCCTCCGGACCGCACCTTTGTGAGCCACCGAGGGTGCAGCCCTCGCCGCCCCGGTCCTGCCGGCGGCAGATCTGCACGTTCGCGGTGTTCACCTGCTCGCCGATCTCCCGCGCGGACGCCTGCCACTGCCGGCGCAGCGCCAGCACCTCCTGGCGCACGGCGGTCAGGTCGCGCGCGCACGTGGCCACCTGCCCGCGGAGGGGGCGCAGCGGCTGGTCCTCCTCCGCCTGCGGGGCGCCTGCGGCGGCCTCCTCTCGCAGGGTCGCCGCCGCGGGCTGCCACGGCGACGACGCCATCGCCGCGGCCGACCGCGGGGCCGAGCCCAAATGGCTGTGGAGGAACAAGGCGAGGACGAAGAAAAGAGACGCGACACTTTGGCCACCGCGCGGCCCGAGCGGGGCCTCGCCAGGGCGATCGCGACTGCGCGGCAGCCCTGATCCAAGCCCCAACCAGCGCCGACGTTCCGACCGCACACGGGCCAGCGGGAGTCAGTCGACTGTGGCGAAGATCGAGCTTGGGGCCAAAAACGTTCGGAATTTCAATCCAAAGGCACTCTTCCAAGAGATGCTTCGGAAACTAAGCCAGGCTCAGCTGAATTCGTTGTCCTTTCAATCGGATTCCGAGACCGAGCTCCAAACATGGGAACTCTGCGCTGAGCGGGCGAATGCATACGCAAAGTCTAGAAACACCCACCAGCACGATCGCAGCTTCCCTTGGACCGACGCCGCTTTCACACACACGCGCACACACACACGAGCATAATCTAAACACATACATACATACATACCTACACACATACATACATACCTACATACAAAGATACATCCATACACACATATACACATACAAGCACACATACCCACATACATACATACATGCGTCCATCCATATAGGCATACATACGCACATACAAACACACATGCCCACATACATACATACATACACACATACATCCATACACACATACATAAATACATACATACATGTACATATATATATACATACATGATCACATACATACATACACACATAGCCAATTACACATATATATATACATACGTGCATACATGCATGCATGCATGCATACATACATGCACACATAAACAAACATAGCCACGCCCATACATGTATATACACACTTGTACACCTTTACAAAGGAACGTGTGCATATACATATATACACACATATTCTTTACACATATGTATATAATTGCATGGGTATCAACATCTACGTGTGTGCATATATACAGTTATATATGTATACTACGCCGATCCGAAAGTTTCCCCAATTTCGCGACCGCGCTCGCCGCGGCCATCTGGGGTCGCGCGCAGGATAAAGACCCGCGGGGCCCGAGGGCGGATGGGGGCGATGTCGCGAGGGCAAAGCTGGCGCGCCGATGGGCAGCCCAGCGCCCCGTTTGGCCAGAGGGGCCCAGTAGAATGCAAGGGCAGAGCCTAACCCCCGCCTGGGGTCGCGGGATCGGGTTCCCTTTCCCGATCTAGAATTTTAAAGCCCAGACGGTGTACTGATCCGAATATGAGCAAACGGCAGAGGACTTCCTCGAAAACAGCTTTCGGGTTCGGTCATACGACGACCTGAAAAGTTTACCGGCCGACCTGAAAATGGCCAAATGCCATAGGAGTTGGGCCGGACAAAAATTTCGGGTCCGGTTCGAACGACTCGAAAATGCGCAAACCGCCTAGGACTCCTTGCAACAAAAACATCATTCTCGAGGTCTTCGGGCCCACTCCGAAGAAACCGAGCACGGGCAAACCGCTCAGAACTTCCTATCAACGACGGTTTCTCGGTGGTTCCGGGCCTCGTCCGAAGGAGCAGCCGATGGGCAGACCGTTCGGGACTTCCTGTACAAGAATCGGTTTCCCGGGTGAACCATTCTCAACGGGAGCGCGCCCCGCGCGGGATCGGGGTTCGCACGGGGGCGCGGCTGCTCTCGCTTGTCCAGGGGGCATGAATTGCCGCGCCCTTCCAGCATAGCGTCTGCGCTGCATTAACGCGGCGCCGTGCTTGTCAATTCGGAATAAACTTTCGGAGCGCCGATGTATACACATCGATGCGCCAACGTACCTGGATCACAAAACTTCGCGCCGCAAGCTGCGCGAAACGCGAGCCGCCCGACCACCTTCACCTTCGCGCCCTCGCACGATCGCCTGCCGAGCACGAGAGACGCAAAGCGTGGCTATGCACATTTGGGTCACCACCTCTGTTCACCCCAGAGATCCCAGACATCTATATGATATCACCTGAAGAGAAGCACCCCTGAAAATGCCACCCTGGCACCATCAAGTGTTGAAGGGGTGCGCCCCTTTTTGACCCCATGTTCATCTCCCCGGCGATGCATTCCCGCAAATACGGAGGTCGAATCTAGCGATCCGTTGAGAAGTGTTTTCGCGTGTCGTGCCAAATGCGCGTGCCAACTGATGGCTGCACCACGTTCTGCAAGCCGCGTCGACACTTCGCCGCTTCCCGTCTCCGCCGCAAACCATTGTCCGCCGGCATTGAAGTGCTGCTGCTTAGAATGCCACTGGTTCCAACATGCTGACGACCGCCACACATCGCCGAATCCAGCTGGCGTCCTCCTTTCCCTGTGGGTGGGCCTGTGCACAAGGCGGGGGACACCATTAAAAACGAAGGCAACCTGTGGTGATCAGACGACTGCAAACTTTGAATCGGTTGCAACATCTTGCTGCGGACCAGAAGTTTCCGCTATCTGCCTTGGGGCTGGATCGCCCCCCGCATCTAGCATCTGGAAGCACAGTGGCTACGGAGGGGGACGAGGAGGAGGAGAACGCGGAGGAGGAGGAGGAGGAATATGCTGCTGATGATGATGAGGAGGAGGAGGAGGAGGAGGAGGAGGAGGAGGAGGAGGAGGAGGAGGAGGAGGAGGAAAAGGGGGAGGAGGCGGACCAGGAAGGGAGAAGGAACGATCCCCAAACGCCCCCCCTCCAATTCCCCCCCCCGCTGTGACTGCATTGAGGCCACAGGCCCTTCAACCGCCGCCTGGAAGGTCCGCGCTGGACGACCGCCCTCCTTCTGCACGTTTGGCCACGACTCCCTCCAAGACGGGTCAGCTGGCTCAAGGTGCTCCCCACCAGACGGTCTAACACGATCTCCAAGTCGGCCAAGATGGCTCCGAGATGGCCGACGAGCCTTCCTTAGGACGCCCCTAGAGCGGGTCACGAGGCTCCAGAGAAAAAGAAGGCATTGGTGCTCCTCAGTTTGTTGGCGGATGACGGGAAGCGTCTTCGAGGTACGAGAAGCAAGCGGGACGTTCTGGCTGAATCCTGGAGTATATATATATATATACCCACCGGTCGGAAGAAGTAGGTAGAAACATGAAGTAGGAAGGCGGAAGAAGTAGATTGCGTTCGGGGCCGCCCCAAAAAAGCAACAGCAACAGCAATTACAAGAAGTAGATTACAAATTTTCGGGCCCTGTCTTAGCGGCGCGCAATAGCGCTAGGTCGCTCGGCCCCTCGCATGGCCCCTTCCCTCGCTGATTTCGGTTGTTCTGGCTTGTTTTCGTTTGTCCGTCGATCGCACTGGCAGCCTTTCGGTGGCTCGGCCCCTCGGCAGGCCCAATTCACTGGTTTTGTCTGCTTTTGTTTGTTTTCGCTTGCCCGTCGGCTGCACTGGTCGCCCCAGGCTCGCCCGCCGCCCCGCGGTCGCTTGGCCCCTCGGCTGGCCCCATTCCGCGGTTTTGTTTGTTTTTGTTTGTTTTCGCCGAGCCTGGGGCGACCAGTGCAGCCGACGGACAAGCGAAAACAAACAAGAACAAACAAAACCAATGAATTGGGCCAGCCGAGGGGCCGAGCGCCGCGGTGCGGCGGGCGAGCCTGGGCGACCAGCGCAGCCGACGGACAAGCGAAAACAAACACAACAAAACCAATGAATTGGGCCAGCCGAGGGGCGACGACTGACAAGCGAAAACAAACAAGAACAAACAAAACCAATGAATTGGGCCAGCCGAGGGGCCGAGCGACCGCGGGGCGGCGGGCGAGCCTGGGGCGACCAGCGCAGCCGACGGACAAGCGAAAACAAACAAAAACAAACAAAACCAATGACTGGGGCCAGCCGAGGGGCCGAGCGACCGCGGGGCGGCGGGCGAGCCTGGGGCGACCAGTGCAGCCGACGGACAAGCGAAAACAAACAAGAACAAAAAAACCAATGAATTGGGCAGCCGAGGGGCCGAGCGCCCGCGGGGCGGCGGGCGAGCCGTGCGGACCAGCGCAGCCGACGGACAAGCGAAAACAAACAAAAACAAACAAAACCAAAGAATTGGGCCAGCCGAGGGGCGAGCGACCGCGGGGCGGCGGGCGGCCTGGGGCGACCAGTGCAGCCGACGGACAAGCGAAAACAAACAAGAACAAACAAAACCAATGAATTGGGCCAGCCGAGGGGCCGAGCGCCCGCGGGGCGGCGGGCGAGCCTGGGGCGACCAGCGCAGCCGACGGACAAGCGAAAACAAACAAAAACAAACAAAACCAATGAATTGGGCCAGCCGAGGGGCCGAGCGACCGCGGGGCGGCGGGCGAGCCTGGGGCGACCAGTGCAGCCGACGGACAAGCGAAAACAAACAAGAACAAACAAAACCATTGAATTGGGCCAGCCGAGGGGCCGAGCGACCGCGGGGCGGCGGGCGAGCCTGGGGCGACCAGTGCAGCCGACGGACAAGCGAAAACAAACAAGAACACACAAAAACCAATGAATTGGGCCAGCCGAGGGGCCGAGCGCCCG